AGATGCCTCTCTCTATCAAATCAAAGCCCATCTCAATATCGGAATACAGTATTGAGAAGAGCTTACAGTGTAGTGTCAGTAGTATTTGTGAGTCAGTAGTCAGTGGTCGTACACCACTGTTATCGTAGGGTATAGTATGGCATAAGAGTATAAGAAGTAGCGAATGATAAATGATGTTTTGATGGCATACCAATTGTTGTCTGTATAGGAAGTCTCACAACTCGTGAGTCCAGGCTCTCCCCTGTGGTTGTGTTTCCTGATCTCCAACTTTATATTCCTCTATCAAAGTCTCAAATGAGCCGTTAGACTAAAATCAATTCACTCCTAAAGACACTTTTTTGTGGTTTTCATATTTCGCCGATTGATCACTAAATTAGAGTTCGTTTTGGTATTCATTTGGCTGTCAGTCCTATTGATTGGTTCGCTCTCTTGAAAGGCAATCGTTATAATTGTTGTTGTGCTCAATGAGGCCTACGATATACCAGTGCCGCTACAGTACGGCTCTCCCAATAACTCAATAAATTTACCGAAAGATCTCTGATTTCCTGAGGAATGTGTTACTTAACGATCAGTTAATGATATCAATGTTATTAACGATTGGAAATCGAAAGACTTTTTAGCGATTTTTGGACATTATATTTATGCACAACATATTGACTGACTTCCTATGAGTCGCCCCGAGTCCTAAAAACTAACGACTCTTTTTTATGCCGAGAACATCTAAAACTACTTCTGAAAACCATATGATGTATAAAAAGCGGGCTTTTTGTCAATTTTGATGTTATCAAATGATATGAATTGTGAGGCTATGGTTTGAATGGTTTGTTCATAAAACGTGACACAAACGCCATTTATTTGAAAAATAAGTATCACTACTGACACGACTGGCAGCTAATGTCAAATGGATTTAAAATCCAAGGGCTAGAGAGTGTGTGTTCAACACAGAGAGTGAGGCATTAAATTTATTTATTTTTTAACTCTAAGTGACCCCAACCCCTACGGTCTCGAATGGCTCTCAACAGTTAGCATTCAATTTATTGATTGACACAAAAATCACATTTTTATGTTCACTGTGTGCTGAGTCCGCATCACTTTCCATCACTTTCATCACTCACCCATATATTTGCGGCTTTAGGTTTACTTTAAAATCTTTTATTTCAAAATTATTCATCCGATGAACATATTTTAGATCACACTTTAGATATGTATTGAAATCAAATGCACTTTTTGTTTGCCAATGCAATCCTTTCAATTCAATTGCTATAATAATTAATTTATTAGTTTCATCCATTGGCTTATTGGCAATAAAGGGAATTATTAATTTAATTTGAAATTTTTATCTAACCGATGCACTTAATAGTTTAATCTATTTTAGCAAATTTTTATGATTGAGACCATTTTTTATTTATCTTATGTTTATGACATTTATTAAAAGAAATCTATAATGTCTTATATTTTAATGTTCATGTATGTCTATAGCAATGCATTTTACATCTGTAACGACAATAATTTATATAATTAATTACTATTTTTACTGTTGACTTGTAGTGCAATATTTATTTACTGTAAACTATAAAATCAAAATTGAAATGAAAGGATATATGAGAGTGAAGTCCACTTTCATTTTTGACTGCAAACTAATAAATTTTGAAATTTTATTTTTCAGAATAATTATTATTCGCAAAATACCAAAAAATTTAATCTAAATAATAGAAAGCTATAAATCTTTTAACAAAACAATTTTAGGAATGTATGACTTTTTATACTAAAGAATGAAAACTAAAATTATTGACAAACAAACAAAAATGTCTAATTAATTATGTTTTTATATACTGATAGTATCAATGAAATAAGAAAAACAACGAATAATTTGTCATTTGACACAAGAATCATATATTTCTGCTGTTATATTATGGGATTCAAGAATGTAAATAGAAAATGAAGCTTATTCTTTGAAAATAATATATCACTTCATAACTACATTTCAAATATGTGTGAGTTATCATGTTTTTAGTTTTCTATTAACAATAAACCCTTGGATTTCATACTACTGTTGAGGATATATAACGAATGACATTCTTTCATCATAAAAACAAAGCACAATCTTTAAATTCATGACTTACGTACTGAAAGTTAAAACTGTATACCTGAAGTAATAAATAAGTAATGTAAAATTTGAGTACGTAAGCTGTGAATTTAAATATGTTGCTTACTATCACTCTATGGTTGTCACTATTGATAAAAGATTGTCATTCATTTGATATGATAATAACAGATTTATTGTTTGTTATTCTAGACTTAAGTCCTGTTTATATTAGCGTTGGATTTCGACTCAACTAAAGAGTTGATAAATGCATTGGAATTGTTGTTCAGAGAATATTCTATGAATTTTCATGAGATGTTGTGATGAATGACTTTCTGATAGCTTAAGACTTCCCATTTGACCAATAAGTACAGAATCATGTTTTTGTCCAAAAACCTTATGATAATGATGTCTTTCCACAACATTTTCCCAAAAGAATTTGATTTAATTTTGTTATCATTTATATTTTTATTGTAATAAATTTTGGTTGTAAATTACATAAAAGTCTGTAAAATTGTTTTATTAAAAACATTTATAATAAAATCATATAAAAGTATTACAAGTATTGATTTTAAAAAATTTAGTGTATATTCAGAGCGTATAAAATTGGATTATAGTAATAAACTATATTACAAAATCAATTCTGAAATTAAAATTAATAAATATATGATATTGAGGGTATGAAAATGTTTATATAATGCAATATGAAATACATATGAATTACATCAATAAGTGATAGATAGAGAATATATTATATACTGTATTATAATATGAAAGACCTTTGGTTGAGAACTTGTCTACAAATTTGTAAAATACATACAAAATTGTATATCAAATACTTTGCATGAAATTATACTTTAAAATGATTATCAGTTGAGTATTAACTGTCTGTCAAAATATTATAAACATAGAATATATTGAGTTTTGAAGTTATAATCAATATGTGAGCACCGGATTCACACTTTAAAATAGTTGTATAACTTCTTTGAGGATCAATGGAATCGCGATTCTTATCAGTCGAGTCACCGCTGATATCATTGGGCTTTCGATCTATAATATGATAAAAAAGAATTCAATGAATGAGTGCTTCAAGTGATGGAGATTTTAAATTTCAGATGTGATCAACACTTCTCAAAAATACGACTATACATAATGTATACCAATATACTGTACAGTACTGTATGATATTTATATAATATTTACAGAATATATATAAGCATTCAAATATCAATAGCGGCTACTCTTGATATCCGCGTTTCATGTATTGAATATTCTATCCGTTTGTGAATATATTGTTATATAGAGTTATGTACGAGAGTTGGGTCACTCATGTGAGGGAATATATCAATACTTTTTTATGAATTACATATACCCTACCCTACACACTACATTGCAATATATTAGCAAAGATTATGCCAATAAATCTTTACGGCAAATATAGTGTAGTACTGTATTGAAAAAAATGATCGAAAAGTTGTAAATTTATTGAAGAGACTCTATCGCTGATAATGGGCCCAATTTTTTATATTTTAAAAATTGACTTAAATTTCAGGGAAATTTGTTAAAAGCTCTCACGAGTGGTATTTGTGGCTCGGAATTAAATTTGAATGCCCTTTAAATTGCTATTTGAGTATAAAGTGAACAAAAACATGATGCGTTAAAATGCAAACTTAAATTTTTAAAATTTGAATGCATTGGGCAATAGTGCCGTCGAAATAATGGATTACTTTTATTTTCATTTCACTCAATATAATAGCGATAAGTATTGAATGAGAGATATTCACATAGAAAAAGTAGTAATGCTATATTGGACTCACATTTTGGTCTCGTGTTGTGATAAAATCTTTGCTGATTCTCCTGAGGTCTGAACCAATTTCTCGTATGATTTCATTCATTAAAGTTGTGTTTTGCGATGAACTGACGATATCAGGCAAAGGATACCATTGTTTTTTAACGTCATTGTCAGCGCTTTCTCGTTGATTACGACTACACGATAGCCGCGGCAATAAGTTATCTGTTTAATCAAATTAGAGATATAAATACTTTTAATTAAACTAATTATTATACTATTTTAGATATGTTTCGATAGCTTCTAACAAATTACCACTCATTGAAATGAATGAAAATATTTGGAAATTATTAAAATAAAATTTTATATAAGGAATGTTAACAATGTAATTTTATATAATTCAAAAATAAAAACTTATGTTTTTTATATACTTTTAAATATATTTAATTCCTATGAAATATACAAAAATATTTCACAAAATAAAATTAAAAATAAATATTTCATTAACAAAATTAATATTTTAAAATAACTTCTATATTAAATAAAATATTTATAGTATAAATAGAGTAAATGTATAAAAATAATAAAATATAATAATAATGAAAATAAACCCAAATGTTGTGCTTTGCTGTAAGGCTAGCGTTGTGTGCAGTGAAAGTTGTTTATAGAGTCATGTGTTTGTAAGGGTAGCCAAATATGAACAGTAGTGATAAGTTTGCAAAACAAACCGAATCTATATTCCTATTCACATCTCATGTCTGCATTTTCATACAAATCTATTTTGTATTTTTGTTAAACACTTTTGTTTATTAACTAAAAGTACAAATTGTTATAACGGAAAGAATTTTAACTTTATTTTTAGTACTGTTTTCATTCTATTTGTAATCTTAAGAAAATATTTTTATTTTGAAAAAAGTTTTTCCATGCAGTATAAAGTTTTACAACTTTAACTGCAAATCTACTAGTTTTTTTGTTTTCAGATTATTATATTATATTACAAACTTTTATAAGTTATAAGAGCTTTATAAATTGTTCTTAATAAGTTTTATAAGTCTTTTAAAACTTTATAAACTTTTAATAAATAATAGAAACTTATAAGAATATTCTAATATTATAAAAAAATTTAAACTAATAATCTTATATAAATTACTATATAATAATAATTATAATTTTAATGCAAATTAAATTACAAGCGAAACATTACATACCTGTTTGCAAAGAACTTTGAGTTTGTTGTGTGACATTAGTGGCCATAAATGGATATCTATAGCCTCTAATACAACCGCAATCATAGGGCGGATGACCGATAAGACAGTGGACAGAGTCTATAGAATGTAATGATTGCTCGGATGATGTGAATGAGTGGTCCGAATGGGATGATAATGAACTACTCGAGTGATTAATGGAGGACTTGTGGTGTCTGGATGTTTGTGGGATAGGAATGGGAGAACTTTGTACTCTTGAGTGTAAAACATGAGTGACTTGTTGTGATGATTCCTGGTATCGGTTCTCTTCATTTACATGTGAATAGTCTTCCAATTCTTCGAAATCATTGAAATGATTATCAAATTCTTCGGTTACATCATTGAGCGAATGGCTGATAGAGGACTGGTAGCCGCTGTCAAAACTTAATAGGTTTGACTCATGTTTCCATATAATTAGTAATTGACTTTCTTGGGTCTCATTAGTACTCGATAGCGACCAAACTCTTGTCATTTTGACGATCAGTTTCAATACTATGTGAAACTCAATTTCAGTGACTCTCGCAACACTCGTATTATATGACTACAGTATATGAAAGCAAAATGTTATGAAATGCTGTCTCCGATATTCAGTGACAAACTGTTGAACTGAACTCAACACACGTTCATATTATACACGACGAGGATTGTGGTGTGACTGTGTGTATGTGTGTATGTGAGCTACCAGTGCTCTCCACCAGCTCTGCCACCAGTGCGCCTGTGAGACACATCAGCCTCGCAGTCATATATGAGCCAATCTATTCAATTGACTCCCTTTTTGTTACATTGTGTACACTATTGCCGTACAAACTAATAGTTTGGAGAAAGTTTTTTTCATGTGAATTGTCAAAAAAAACATTATTCTATTGATTACTTATTAAAAAATCATTTAAATGTAATTTTTTGTTTATTTAATAATTATTTTCTCAATGATATAGTTTCAGTCTGTGTTTGTTTGGATAACTTTCCAAAAATGTTTGATTTTTGTTATAAAGTTATTCATCAAATAGACATTAAAGTTATATTAATAAACCATTAGATCTGTATATAACTTAAACTACTATCTATTATTGGCTTAACTTTTTTGGGCAAAAATATTGTTTTTATATGAAAATGAAAATTTAATCCAAAAATCAATTCAATTTTCATGGGTTAGGCGTCTATTCAAATCACTCGTTTCATATGTAGACCTTTATATGAATACAATATTGCTCTATCAGACTCTTTCAATAAGTTATAACTTTTTAACTATTCATTGCAATGGGATTTGCATTTTCAGTCTCTCTCTCTCTCTCTCTCTCTCTCTCTCTCTCTCTCTGTGGGCGCTATTTTAACACCTGCTGTATATTATATAATATTATATAAAGCATTATGTAAAATTATTGTTTAGTGGAATTATTTATAAGAAATAATATTTTATTGGACACGGATTTATATAAGCGAAAAACAAAACATATTGTATAACATATTATCCCATTATATACACTAGATAGATTCTATTGTTAATGTTAATACAGTATACAAATTTTAAAAATTAAATTTATTTACAATCTATTAGAATAAGTGTTAGAAATGGGCAAAACTATTATCGAAATGTAATGCAATCAACGTAATGAATGTCCAATATTTATGACCGAATCAATAATATTGTCGTTTAGTATATCTAACAAACAAATGGATAACTTTTAGCACCGATTTTCACATAAAAGCTGTCAAATAAATAAAATAGAGGCCTAAATGTATTAACACAATTGAAGGCAAGGCATGGTTTATCTTTTGTAAATATTATGTGTCCGACACTTACAAAGGAAGACCTAATTTTTTATGTCAATATACTACAGTAGCTGCTATTTATTAATAAAAATTGAAAAGTTTTCTCTCATTTCGTTAAATTAAACATTTTTACGAATAGTAGCCGACCTTTCCATGGCTTATGGTCAGGGGTTTCGGACACTAAATATTTGTTCAGATTATCATAATATACTGTATGTTAAAAATTCACGTTTTTGTGTCCATAAAAACTTTACGACAGGGTCTCTCATATTTCAAGCTTATCACTGGAATTATCATTAAATGCTTGACATGAGAGTCGCATCGTTAATAACCCAAACGACAGACCACTTGATTTATACACACTTTGATAGACAAACCATTTGCTCAACAATGCATTTAATTGACAAATACTCGTATTATTTACAATAGTTTTTATTGTAAAACTGCATTAAATAAAGAATACGTTTGTGTTGTGAACCACATTTGAAACCACATATAAATGACACGAAGTGACAAAACAGTGATTAATGATAACTTGCTTTGAATCAATCGACACAAAGTCGTGACTTTCTCTAAGCTCTTACATAATCATATGGATTAGTATTTAAGATAAAAATATAGCTATTCTTAATGTTTAGTATTATTGTTATTATTTATATGATGATAGCATTGCTTAACTGTGAAAATAAAATATGAAATGAAAGTATTTTTAGAGTGAAGAGTAAACTAACTGTAAGAGAGAGTGAAAGGCCATAAAACAAGAATCGCATCACTGATGGAAATACATAAAAGCAAAAAGTAATGGCAATAATCATTGCGTTAATCCAATAATTCATTGCTAAATTGTCAGCTCATCAGTAATCAAACACAGGGTTAGACAATAACTGTTTCTCTGTCGGAAATTATCGTAATGTCCTGAGCCTTCATAACACAAACACTATAGCACTATAGCATAGCATTTGCTGAGTCGACCAGAATTCTCATTCTTAACAATAAGCCGGATATAAGAGCACATAATGCCTGTAATTATTAATTGGTTGAGCCATTAGATGTGTTTTTCTTTGTATTCAATAGTATTTCGGGATATTTGTATAAAAAATCGTTTCCAGACTCAGCTCTTAATCACTCTCTGGTCTCAATGATAGGACTATAAGGTCTTCACTAAAGCTGACACTAAGTGAAGAATGGTTTTCATAAATCTTTTAATAGTATTAACTCTTGTCATTCAATAGTATTTAATGGTAACTGTCCAGTGATAGCACTGAAATTTCGATGCCCATTATTTAATTAAAGTTTTAACTCTAAAACAGATGTCTAAAAAATAAAATTATTAACAATGATAAATTCATCTTAATTCATCATAATTTAATTTCTAACACATTATTAACACATTTTTATAGCTGCCATGAATGTCTACAATTCATTGGTATTTGAATAATAATAATGGTGCAATATTCAAATATTGATAATAAAATATTTTCATTATCTCTTAAAAGTATTCTTTGTTTGGTTTATAGCCATAAATGTGTGTATATTAAGTGAATGCAAGAGTTAATTTCATATTTGACAATTCATACAATGATACAATTTTATGGCAATGCATTGTTTGAGTCGATTTAGGGATATAAAAGTTTGTTATTTAGGGCTAAATTGAACATAAAATATGAAATACAGATACACTGTATTTGGATGAATGAATTGAATGGATGGGAGAGGAGAAAGAAGATGTTATTAGAAATAGAAATGATTTTGTGATTTATATTTTATGGTCTTATTTATGGTCAATAGTTGAGAGAATAGAGTAACCGTTTATGAGTCACATTCATATAGTGATTAGCGTTAGAAAGTGAGCCAAATATTCAAATATGGCATTTGAATCGTTATAATCACTTTCAGGAGGTCTTAATGTTGAGCGCATTTCTGGTGAACAGGAGTTCAGTGCGATTGACACTCAAATGACTGATCTTAACGACACATTCATATAATGTGTTTGGATTGGCATCCGCTATATTGCGTGTATCTGTTTAACTGTTTATTGCATTTCTCCATTCAGTCCCCTTTATTCACTGCATGGCCTCACTTGTGAACACTTCTCTCCACTCTATTCAACTGTATTGGCACAGAGAGCACAGAGAGTACAGAGAGTACAGAGAGCACAGAGAGTACAGAGAGCACAGAGAGCACAGAGAGCACGGAGTCATCCCTGTATAATTGCACAGTTATGGACAGTGGCACTGGACCATTATTGCCGGCCATTTACCGATTGAGTCGTGTCCAATTGCTTCCCATTTATTTTAGCTGACATTTCAACGTTTACCGCATTTCTTGTATCAAAACTATTGAACACAAACCCAAAATCTATTAGTAGTTCAGACACAACACTACACACCACTACAGTATCATAGCTATCATCCAGACATTCCCACTCTCTGTCTCTCATTCACTCCCAAAAGTGGCACAACTTTTTGTTCTTCAACTTTCAGATACCCGGATATCCCTGTATTGCTTCCCAAAGTCATACTGTAAATCACATAACAATATGAGTGCCATTTCTGCCATTTCTATCATTTCTCTCATTCCATACCAGACTCTGCGCTAAGAAGTCATTTGCCAAACCATTCCAATAAAGCGTGTCTTTTATAAAACTTTTATTTATTGAGATATTTGTATCGAAACAACTCGTAATCCCTATGAATACAAGCAATGATTATAAGTCTTGTCGTACTTATTGTTTGCAGAAGAGATGGTTTGAGACATGGATTGATAAGAATATATCACTGGAGAGCGTGACGTGAGAACACAATTTGGGACTTTAAAAAGTTTTACAAAAAAATTATTACAAATAAAAAAGTGAATCCAACCAAACAAGTTATGTCTCAAAGCATTGAGTCTCAAACCCCTCCACATTTAATCCCATTCGTTATGATACGAGACTTTATTTGCACGATTCAAATCCATTTACAAATCAATATTAGTGTCAAATGTTTGCTATAAATATAAGAAATGCTATAAAATATGTTTTTGTGATATTTTATATACTTTTTTATTCAAATCATAGCCAATGCGTGACGAATGGCTCAATTGGTTTGACAAAACTTTTGTGTTAATGTTGTGCCAGAAAGTTGAGACTATAGAGTAGTGTTGGGTAGTGTTGGGGTAGTGTTGGGGCAGTGGATGGAGTGATGCAGTGATGGTCTGGTCCGTTGGTTTGATGGCCAGTCTAGTGGTGGTGTAAACACTACATTATCTTACATGCATTGAAGTGTCAGCGTTTAGTCAGCACTACTACAGCACTACTTATTTATTGAGTTCGCTCACAACCAGACCACTCACTACTGACTACTCGCTGGGGAAATAAGTCAATGGTATGGCTCTATGGATGGCGTGTATGGCCAGCAAAGTGTCTGAATGTCATCATATTTTGTCCAAAAGTGATCGTTTAGTCTCGTTAACCCCCAACACTATTGTGCAAATGGGGCCAAATTGGTAGTCATTGGCAGTCATATGAAATGAATGGGACGGCAAGAGTGGCACATCTCTCGCATCAAATCAACAACAGATAAGAGCATAAAAAGTCCATTCAATCGATGCATACGATCCGCACAGTTATGTTCAGCACTGCTCTCAATGCTCTCAAAGTAATCGCCATTCGCTTCTTAAATCTGAACCAAAGCCTAAGCCCTGTTTTTGCTACTAATTTCA